TTTGTAAAAATGAGATCCTCTGAAGCATGGCATCAGAATCAACAAATAACGAAGAGGTACACATGGTGGACTGTGTGTATTTTGTTAGGAGTAGCTTTAAAAAAAAAAGCCTCTAGTGCTACCTTTAATGCTTCCTCTGGGGGTAAGCTGGTTTAAAAAAAAGAAAGCGAGCATTTGCCAAGCAGCAATGCTGTGCACGTAGAAATACTTTTATCATTTCAGGATCACGGCAGTGATTAAACTATCGGCTGTGAAACACCTGTATGTCTTTTAGATGGTAAAAATCCTTGAATCTTGTTGAAATATCACATGTGAAATTGTAGATATTTAAACAATCAAAAGGTAATATATTTTGACTACCAAAAAGTCCCATATAAGCATGGCAAAAATATTTCAAAGCAAAGCCAAAGAAAGTTTTTATTTACTTTTTCCCTTTAAGGAACAGAAAAAACCAATCAAATCCTGAAACATCTGATACTGCTCTCAGAAAGTTTATTCCCTCTTTTTTCTCCAGATCATGGGAACATCCTCAGTTGGGCAACCAATGAATGAGCAAACAAACCAACTTGTTATTACCTACTTCCAATTATATGCATAGATAGGCCAACATTTGGTCTACAAACTCAAATTCTAACGAAAGGACTGATACTGGCTGGGAGTATGAAGGACACTATGATTATAACCCCAAAGTTTTCATATAGATGCAGTTACATAGGCAAAAGACAAACAGAAAAAAACTATTCACAGAATCACAGGATGTCAGGAGTTGGAAGGGACCTCGAAAGCTCATCCAGTCCAACCCCTGCCAGAGCAGGATCACCAGACCAGGTCACACAGGAACACGGCCAGGCGGGTTTTGAATGTCTGCAGAGAAGGAGACTCCACAACCTCTCTGGGCAGCCTGGGCCATGCTCTGGCACCCTCACAGTAAAGAAGTTTTTCCTCATGTTCACATGGAACCTCCTGTGCTCCAGCTTGGTCCCATTGCCCCTTGTCCTGGCATCGGACACCACAGAGCAAAGCCTGGCTCCTTCCTCCTGACACTCGCCCTTTATAAATCTATAAACATTAATGAGGTCTCCCCTCAGTCTCCTCTGCTCCAAGCTAAAGAGCCCCAGCTCCCTCAGCCGCTCCTCAGCAGGAGATGCTCCACTCCCTCCATCATCTTTGTGGCTCTGCTGGACTCTTTCAAGCAGTTCCTGTCCTTCTTGACCTGAGGGGCCCAGAACTGGACACATTGTTTCGCCTGAATAAAGTAACACATACTGCCAAGTGGGGTAACATGCACAGAATTGTTTTTAGGTGCATCTGCACTACGGCAAGTTTGTCCCACATCAGCTCCCATGAAAAGTGCTTTTATAAGTACACAAGCCCTGAGAAGCCACAATCTAGAAATGAAATTACTGTCAAACTTCTTTCTCTAATTAGAAGTTCTATTTGATTTTTAATTAAAATAACACATCTTTCATTTTAAGTGTGCTGCTTTCACTTCTCCCATTTTTTCATCTGCATGCTTGCTTGTTGAAGTTCTGTCAATGTGCACAAACGTGTCCCCAGTAAAACAGCTCCCTCCCAGTCTACCGCAGAAGAGCTACTGGGAGAGGGAGAAAAGGCCTGAGCCAGAGGAACGGGGAGAACTGGGCGAGCAGTGGCACTGGCTAAGGACAAAGTTTGTGAGCGGTTACTTGGCAAGAGTGCAGCAGAAGGAAACGGAAAGCTGATGTGCTAGATCAAGTAAATAAGATCATCTTCTCCCACGGGAAGGAATTCTGATGTCCTAAGAATCTGATGTTCTCCTACTCAGAAAGAATAGGAAGATATTAAAAGGCATTAAATCCTTGCTTTAAATTGTTCCTCTGGCTTCCCTCTCCACTTCTTCCAGCAAGCTCTTTTCTCCCTGAAAAATTAATCATTGAGAGTTTTTCAAACAAGCACATTGGTTATGAATTTCATTTGAATCCAACTGCAGAAGAAATGCCATTTATGTTACGTAGTCCATCACAATATGCAACAAATAGGCCTCATTCTGAATTTTTTAACTGATTTTTTTTTCCAACGGAACAAGTACAGACAATAGAAGACTGAAGAGATCACTTCATAAACAGATTCTGCAGGAACGACACCAGAAGACAGTACGGTTCCTGTCTCTGTTCGTACAGGAGCATCCTCTTACCAATGCACTTTTCCTTGCAACATTTTTTCTTATAGGAAAAACACGTTAGAAATGGTGACATGCAGTTAAGATCCTGAGAACAGCATTTCAGCAGGGGCTTGTCACGCTGTCAGTCATTGTGTCTCACCTTCTGCAAATTGTGGCCAGACCCTGGAACAGGCTTCCTGTGCCCCAAGCCTGTCAGTGTTTCAGAGGCATCTGGACAGTGCTCTCAATATGCTTTAACTTGGGCAGCACTGATTTGGCCATGCAGTTGGACTAAATGATGGCTGTACGTCTCCTCCAACCCAAGTAGTCTGTTCTACTCTATTTTGAAACTGGTATGTTAAGATGAGGCTGATGAACTCTGTTCCATTTTTTTTCTTAAACGGTTCTTGAAAAAATTGGAGGAAAATCCAACGATTATAAATTGCTCTGTATTTCTTCAGAGAAATTATTTATTATTTAAACCTGAAAAAGAATGTGCATCCCACATCCTGGGCTTAACTAAACACATGAGATGCTGTAACAAAGACACAAGTGAACTCTGAGGAGAAAATGAGTTTCTTTTCAGTGATCACAGTAACAACAGTTTTTGAGGGGGGAAAGAAAAGATATTTCAATTCAAACAGTGAAGTGAAACCCACTTTGCACCTATATGTGAGAGACATTTGGAAAAACAGGCCATCTGTGCAGAAATATGAGGCCTGGAAAACTGCCAGGCCTTCCAAGTGTGACCTGCTGTGCAAATGCTGATTATGCAAGTTAAAGCTGTCTGGGGTGAATTTATGTTCCCTGTTTTCCAGGGCTCCAAATAACATTCCTTTACTTACAGAAAGCATCTCGAACTTTTATCTGACTAGTTTTTGAGATTCTTGACAAGCCTGTAAAGCACAATTCCTTTCTGTTTGCAAAATGAATTGATTTTATTCCAAATAAGAAACCGAGGCAAAAATGTATATCCAAAGACTTTAAGAAGGATCAAGTCCTGGTCACTTCTGTTTGAATAATTTACAGATGCATTTACAGAAACTTCTATGATTTATTTCAAAACAACAGAAAAATGTGAATGACTGACAACTATGTATCTTCTCACTATGAGTCATTATTTAAACACACATATCCATCATTGTCTAGAAACTAAAAAAGGTTTCTTCAGTCAGCAGCTGCCTAGAACCATACGACAATTCAGACTGAGTGGGATCTCACCTTCACCTTACAAAGCAAGGCTAATTTCAGCGTTAGTTCAGTCTTTGAAATTCTGTTTTTCTAAAGCCCAAAATTAATTTTTCCTGAGGCAACAGGTATCCACTGACCATTGTACTTTCACTGTGTGCTTCCAAAAGCAATCCGTCTTCTCTACAAACACCCAGTAAGTAGCTGAAGACAGCAGTAAGGTGTCTCCTTCACCTCTTCTGGAGGCTAAACAAACGGAGCTCTTTCTGCTGCTCCTCATACATCACGTCTGCCAGCCTGCAGCTATCCATGTTGGCTGCGCTCAGCTGGACTCAGTCCAGTTTCTCACAGCTGTGACTGACATAATTTCATGTCATTTAAAAAAATGTCACTGTACCAAGCAGTAAGGTGACAGTTCTTTAAACGCCAAATGCTTATTCCATGTGAAATGTTCTATGAGCAAAAAAAAAATACGATGGTAACACCACCTTGGTTTTTACAAGTATCAAGCAGGCTTTATACACTAAGCTCCATGCTGCATTTTTTCACCTATTTCATTTAAGAAAACTGCATTACATATTCACATGCCTATTGAAAGTCAGTAGCAAAAAGCTGTTAGAAATACAGATATCAAAGTGCTGGTCAAGCAGCTGGTGAGTGATGTGTGGCAGGGACATTCCTGGCAGTAGTGACAATGCTAAGCTCATCTTTCCAAGACGACTGTTGCCTATAAAGTTCTGGTACTGACTTATTTTTTAAGAGATTGTGATGGCCTCAAAGTTCCATCTTGAATGTGAACCTGCTCTGAGAACTCAGTCAGCGTAATTTCACCAAATGGGTACTGCTGCAGATTTCAATAAACACTAGTGCTGATTTTCATAGCTGAGGGTGATCTTTGTCCACATGCACACATGCGTGCATCCTTCCCCTGCTGAGAGAGACCACAAACTGAAATGACCAGGTTGAGTGTAAAGATATTCCCAGCGAGAGTCACAGTATTTATTTGTAAATTCTACTAGTCTGGAAAAACAACAGACTTCACTGCCTATGATACCTGGGCAGTAAGTTTTTTAACTTATAATTCTCAAGGACTGATGTAGAGTAAGTTTTTCTCTTATTTTTTTTTTTTTAACTATGAGGTTCAATACTGCTGACTGAAGTAAAATTGTTACATTTCATCTAAGCTGTATCTCCTGCAATATACATGCAGTTATAAAACACCAACTGGCCTGTTTGGTAGTTTTAGAACTTTTAACAGCACATATTAACTTACATTCCATTTACATTTAAAGGTTGTATTTGCAACCGTAAGAAATGAAAATATAATAATTTATATTTAAATGAAAACACCAGTCTTGGAAACTTTTGTTGTACTTGTCTGGAAGAAAGAACTCTTCAGATCCTAGTTACTACTTCATTTTTTGTGGCTCTTGGCAGGCTTTAGATAAACTAGCAACTAACAACTACATTTCTGGCCACAGAAGGACACAACTGTTCCCCATGGTGTCCCCCTTTAGCCAATGTAAGTTCATGCTGGACAAGAAAAAGATCTCCTTTGTACACAGATGTACTAGTTACCATGTAATACTTTGTAAGTTTTAGAACAGATTATCAGTTACAAGTTTGTGGTGGTTTCCTATTCGTTACTTACTGTTAAATTTATTTTAAAACAGATTTCAAAAAGTTCTTTGCAGAAGAATATTTGACCAGAACTAGAAGATCATGATGACAAGATTCATCTGCCTAATGCTAATAGCTGTTGTGGGAGCGAGCAAAACACAGGAATTTGAAGGCAATGATGAGGAAACAGAACAAGAATTCATTTATATGAACAGACACAAGCGATCCAGTGACACACAGGACAAATGCACTTACACCTTTATCGTACCTCAACAGAGAGTGACAGGTGCCATTTGTGTTAATTCTAAGGAGCCTGAAGTTCTACTTGAAAACAGGGTAAATAAACAAGAATTGCAGTTACTTAACAATGAACTTCTGAAACAAAAGAGACAAATAGAAACTCTCCAGCAACTGGTGGAGGTGGATGGTGGGATTGTTAATGAGGTTAAACTCTTAAGAAAAGAGAGCAGAAATATGAATTCTCGTGTCACACAACTCTATATGCAGTTACTACATGAAATTATCCGAAAACGTGACAACGCCCTAGAACTTTCTCAACTTGAGAATAAGATTTTGAACCAAACCGCAGATATGTTGCAGCTTGCAAACAAGTACAAAGACTTAGAGCACAAGTACCAACATTTGATGTCAATCGCCAATAATCAGTCAATAATAATTGCCCAACTGGAAGAACACTGTCAAAGAATGCCATCCACAAAGCCACTGCCACAACCTCCACAGCCACCAAATAAAGTGTACCAGCCTCCTACTTACAATCGCATTATTAACCAGATATCTACTAATGAGATTCAGAGCGATCAGAACTTAAAGGTTCTGCCACCTACCTTACCAACCATGCCTGCAGTTACCAGTATTCCGACTTCAACTGATAAACCATCTGGTAAGTAAGGTTACTGCATGTCTACATTAGTTTATGCTCATATGCAGTGGGCAACATTTCAACTGTAACATCAAAAATTAAGACAGAGTTTATTTAGCAAAATAAATGCAAATTAATAATTTTTAATTAACTGAGATTTCTTAGATCTGATGCTATCTTGTGTATTTTTAATGTATGTGTTGTAGTACAAGCACAGAAAGAAAGAAAAAAAAGGAATTCTGAATATCTAACAGATTCAGACACACTAGCCCCATAGATTTTTCTCATGTTACTTTGCCAAGACAAACTCACCATTTATATTAGATGTATGAGATAAAAGACCTTAGTAATCAATAGTCAAGTCATCTAAATTTTACTTACCTGTGCCCAAGACCAAACTGCTGTAATTCATGACATCTAGAGGGGTTTGACATTTTTTGTGTAAACACTTATGAAGCTATTACAAGTTTGTTGATCTGGCATGTGATAATTGTTGTGCTTGAGTAAGTTAAAAAGGAATACGTATCTGCTCTGTACCTCATACAGGAATTTCTCCACCTCATTTCTCCATGGAAATACCCACAATGAAAGAAACTCGAGCCAGTGTTTCAGTCTAAAGCACAGTCTCTAACACACTTTGCTACAAAGCAGTTATTTCACAATGCTGCAAGAGATGAACTCACCAAAGCTTGCACTGCAGCGTGCAGAACCTCAGCCAAAAATATCAAGATTCTAATATTCTACGTAAAAAAACAACAAAATCAGGATAAATCACCATTTCTTTTGAGCAATACAATACAGATGGCTCTTTAAGAATTACTTTTCTATGATGGGGTTACAGTGTTGGTGTATAGGGGAAAAGCAGCTAACGTTATCTGCTTGGACTTGTGCAAAGCATTGGAGTCTGTCCCACATAGCATCCTTGTCTCTAAATTGCAGAGACATGGATTTGACAGCTGAATCACTTGCTGGATAAGGAAATGGCTGGATGGTCGCACTCAAGAAAGTCGTGGTTAATGCTCAATGTCCAAGTGGAGACCAGTGACAAGTGGGGGGGGGGTCAGGGGTCAGTGCTGTTTAAGCAACACAGACAGTGGGACTGAGTGCACCCTCAGCAAATTTGCTGATGACACCAAGCTGTGTGTCAACATGCTGGAAGGAAGGGATGCCATCCAGAGGGACCTTAACAGGCTTGAGAGTTGGGCCTATGCCAACCTGATGAAGTTCAACAAGGCCAAGTGCAAGGTCCTGCACCTGGGTTGGAATAATCCCAAACACAGGCTGTGCAGAGAATGGACTGAGAGCAGCCTTGTTGGAGGACTTGGGGGTACTGGTGGATGAAAAGCTGGACATGAGCTGTCAATGTGCATCTGCAGCCCAGAAAGCCAACCATATCCTGGGCTGCATTACAAGAAGCGTGGCCAGCAGTCAAGGGAGGTGATTCTCCTCCTCTGTTCTGCTCTGGTGACCACACCTGCAGTGCTGTATCCAGCTCTGGGAACCCCCAACATATGAAGGACATGGACCTGCTGGAGTGAGTCCAAGAAGGGCCATGAAGATGATCAGAAGGCTGGAGTACCTCTCCTGTGAAGACAGGCTGAGAGAGTTGGGGTTGTTCATCCTCAAAAGAGAAGGCTCTGGGGAGACCATAGAGTAGCCTTCCAGTACCTGAAGGGGCCTACAAGGAAGATGGTGAGGGACTGTTTACCAGGGCATGGAGTGATAGGATAAGGGATGATGGCTTTAAACTGGAAGGGGGAGATTTAGATGAGATAGTAGGAAGAAATTCTTCACTGTGAGGGTGGCGAGGTCCTGGCCCAAGTTGCCCAGAGAAGCTGTGGGTGCCCCTTCCCTGGCCAGGTTGGACGGGGCTTTGAGCAGCTTGGGCTGGTGGGAGGTGTCCCTGCCCATGGAGGGTTGGAACTGGATGGGCTTTAAGGTCTCTTCCAACCCAAACCATGTTGTGATTCTCTATGTGAAGGGCTCAGTGCCTATGCAGAGTTCTGGTTGATACACAGTCCATAGATATTTCCAGAAAGCACTGAGCAGGTTTCTTACTAAAGGTGTTTCAAGTAAGCTGCTACAAAATACGAATAAAGAGCCTCACATAAATAAACCATAAAAATCTCTTAATTCTTAAGTATTTTTTTCATTAGGCAGAGTTAACCATGGTCTTTTACAGAGATCTGTGCTGAGGCCAGTCGTCTTCAGTACATTCTCTTTAATTTCTGATGCCAGAGGACAAATCTCAGCCTACACAACTTAGTAAAAATGCTGGAAAGTTAGTATCTGACAAAAAACCACCTGTGATAGAAAAGCAGTAGCAAACTCTGCTTTGAAGTATTTACAATAGTTTATCTTCATCTTACAGCACTTTCAGAGAAAAGAATCATGTGCAGCACTGTTGCCACATGGCCTAGAAAGAAACCGCAAGATTAGAAAGCTGCAAACACTACATCATATACTGCTGTATATTTATTTTTATGAATACAACATCAAAGATCTGTGCTTGACTATTTCAGGAGTTTCTTCAATAATTACTTTGAACCAAAATGTTCTTATTTGTTTTTAACAAGTGTCACTATGTACATATTACGATAAAATACACAAGAGCAATTTAAATTACCAGCATTCATTACATTTGTCTTCTTCCACCTCTCATAACTTCTCAGCTGTGTCACTGAATACTGCATCTTCATCTAAACTGCCAGAAATGTGAACAGTTAGCACAACAGAATGGAAAAGCACTCTAATGTGACTGAGGACACAAAAACAGAGTGTGGCCACAGACCAAACACTTGGATGGCCTCCCCATACGCTGACTTTTTGATTAGCTAGATAAAAAGATCAAAAAACCCCCAACCACCAAAACACTTAGGTGACCTCTGTAAAACTGATTAGTAATTTACTGAGTACAAGGGTAGCGCTGCCACTACCAGTGTTGGACAATGAATTATGAAAAAAGTGTAGATGAACTGAAGTAATTTAAAAGAGAAATTACTCGATAGCAACATCTGCTTCAGTGACTCCTCACGAGAAGGGCTGACAAGCCTTCCTCCTTCAGAGTGCAGCTGTGTGACAGAGCCACCACAGCGCAGGGTCTGCAGGATTCTGCCTGCAGGATTCTCCTTGGCTTTGCTCTTTCGCTCAGGCGGCACAAGGACAGCAGCAAAGCTGCGGTGTCCATCGTGCAGGTAACAAGAGAGACTCCTAAACGCTTTATATATAAGCTTCTCAGACTCATTCAAATGGAATCTGTCTTCCCACTGAAGAAAATGTCTTCAAAAATCATGAGTGTAAGATACTTTCAAAAAGAGTATTCTCTTTATGGACTCTACTGAACTCGAGGAAAAAAAAATGCATTCTCCTGAAAACAGGAGAGCGTTATCTGTAATTTCTGTGAATACAAACTATTTTGAAAGTCTTCTCATTTAACTACAATTTCTCTCACTATGTAAGTGGGCACTTCATGTTGCAAATCTAAATTTCTGCTTTGTGTTATCATTTATTACGGTGACAACAGTAACACCTAGATTCTTATGTTGCTGGTTCCACTGTTAATGTCTGTGCCAATGACGTTTTTTGGGATCTAAAAAGCTGAATTTCTCAAAGGCAGAAACAAAAGTAAAATTTACCATTTTGTTACCTAAAGGAAATCATTAATATTAATACTTATTTATGGAGTCATTCATATTTGATTTCTTTGAAGATCTAATCAATGTTATGAATGCTGTTGCCTAAAATCAAACAGAAGCAAATCTACCTTTACCAGCAATTCATTGTGAAATTTTCCAGAAATTAAGTTACAACAAATGAATCTGTTTGAAAACACTTAGTGGATGCTGTACCTTCAGTAAGAGCAAAAACAAACGTACTACTCAGCAGAAGCAAATCTGCTGTAAAAAGCTACCAATTCAAATACTGCCTTGCATTAAAGAGATGCTTGATTACACTCTGATGCAGAGTCCTTCTGTTTTGACACAGGGCCCTGGAGAGACTGTCTGCAAGCATTAGAGGATGGCCATGACACCAGCTCCATCTACCTTGTAAAACCAGAAAACACAAACCGGCTCATGCAGGTCTGGTGCGACCAGCGGCACGACCCTGGTGGCTGGACCGTCATCCAGAGACGGCTGGACGGGTCCGTCAACTTCTTCAGGAACTGGGAGACTTACAAGGTTAGGACAAGGGAGCAGTTTAATGGTTTCTACCCTCTAAAAATTGCTGGTAAAGTTTATTTAAAGGGTGATTTTAGCGTCTGGCCAACAGCTTACTGGAAGAGCAACTGGTGCGTTTCACCTTCCAGAAGAGGAAGTCTCTGAAATAAGTTACTGTGGTTTTCTACTTAAGAATACACTCAGATTTACCACTTAAACAGATGCACAAAATTAACGTGCTTCTCTTGCTTCCTTTACAGCAAGGATTTGGTAATATAGATGGAGAATATTGGCTCGGACTAGAAAATATTTATTGGTTAACAAATCAAGGCAACTACAAACTGCTCATAACAATGGAAGACTGGTCAGGTCGAAAAGTATTTGCTGAGTACGCCAGCTTCAGACTGGAGCCAGAAGGTGAATATTACAAGTTGAGATTGGGACGCTACAACGGCAACGCGGGAGATTCTTTCACTTGGCACAATGGTAAACAGTTCACCACGCTGGACCGGGACCACGATGTATACACAGGTACAACGTCCCTTTTGGTCGCCTTGCTTTTTTTGCCCTTGCCCCTCTCCTTTTTTTTTTTTAATTTTTTTTTTTTAAGGAAAAATACTTATAGTGATACACACACAGAGAAAACTACATTTTTAGAGATCAGTCAGTTAGCAACTTACGAAGCACAAACTGATGTGTCAACCCTAAAGTGTAGTAATAGTGAAACAAAAATTCTCCTGAAAATATTAATCATTTACACTAAACAAACAAAGGTCTGTAAAATATGCTGTGGGGAGTTATTCGAGACAGTAATGCAAACAGATTTTCAGCAAGGGAGAGTAACACCAATGAGTCTATCTGTATAACCTCACTAGAGAGTGGATTCCTGAAGAAGCCTAAAGTCACCTTGCACCAAGTGGTATCTACCTGTTCAACACAGTTTAAAAAAATAGTTTGTGCTTAGCTTGCTTGCTGTAAGATTTTTCATTTGCTCCCAAGACTGAATCGGGGCTTTCTTTTGCAGGTAACTGCGCTCATTACCAGAAGGGCGGATGGTGGTACAATGCATGTGCTCATTCGAATCTCAATGGGGTTTGGTATCGCGGAGGACACTACCGCAGTCGATACCAGGATGGTGTTTACTGGGCTGAATTCCGGGGGGGATCATATTCACTAAAGAAAGTGGTTATGATGATAAGACCTAACCCAAACACATTCCACTGAAATAATTCTTCTTTGTTTGCTTTCTTGTTCTAAAAATCACGTAAAGCTATGATCTTATTATCTGGAATTATCTTTCCAGAAATGAGGAATGTAAGATATTGTACATTTATTGCTAAGATGTGAGGGCTTGTACATTGTGTTTTCAAGAATCATTCCAGGAAAAAAGAGCTGAAGAAAAAAACAACTGAAATCACATAACATTCAGAACACCTCTTGGTACTAGAAGTAGTTATATTTAGCCTTTTCAAACTGGCAGTTTAGATGGACTGTAGATAAAATTTGTGGTTTTTATTTCCTGTAAATTAAGTCTGGATGGAAAAAAATACTGCCACAACATTTAAGTATTTTTGTATGTTATATTATGTATAAATATTCTCAAATACAGGAAATATTACAAACTGTACAGCAAGAGTTTTATTATTATTATGAGCAATCACTTGACACAGAAAATTATATCCCTTGAATGTGTAGCTGGTATATGTACATTAGCGTGATTATTATAATTTAATCTTTGTTAACTGCCACGAATAAAGTTAGTACTATACAATTTGATTTTGAGAGGAGATACTCAAATCATTACTGTCGCGATAAATCCAGTCTTTCCCTCTCACTTTGATCATTTTAATAATCTGCTCCTATAAATTAGAATTCACATTAAAATATTTTAGATTAAAAACACTTTTCTTACCAAAATGAAGTAGCTAGCTGCATATGAAAATTAATCCAGATGTACAACAGATACAACACGCTATATAGCCAACATGTAGTACTACACAACACCTGTCACAGTATTTTGTACCTGACTTCAGTCATTACCTGCTGTGTAACCTCTGTAATGAGAAATGGCTGGATATAAATTAAAGGGACTATCCAACTTTGCAGGCAAATGATGGATACCAATACACAAGCTATTAAATAACCTTAGCCAGTAGATGGAAATTATATAAAGAAGTTACCTGTAGCCAAGATAAGTTATATTTACCATATTTCACAATTATAACATATTACTGTCAAATTATTAAATAGATTTACTCATCTGTATTTAGAGGTCAGTCACAACTATGAAATACTGACTGGAATAATTCTAATATTCTTCTGAGGTAGGTTTCTAGATCAGATTGTTGTAACACCCATTTCAAAACAGCTACTATTACAAAAATGTAAGTTACAGAATGCATATAAGGGGGAGAGCAAAAGCCTCTAAAAGTTCACTACATTTTTCAGTAGGCCTGCAAGATTCTTACTGTGTTTGTGTGCACGTGCTTGCACACTTTTTTCCTTATTACCTCATCATTTCTTTACAACAGTATGATGTGCATTAAACTGACATGTCACGTAGCATGTGTTGTATATAATTGAAAGTAGGGGTTTTAATATATTAGATTACACCTGTAATAATTGTAATCCTTTAATAAAGTGACAAATGTTATTTTGACATGCTCAGATTTCATCCTGTTTTAGTTCAGATTACTCATAGCAAAGAAAAATTACTTCATTTCGCACCACTGTGCCTCACCACTCAAATCAACTCTGATACGCAACTACTATTAATGTGTATGAAGTGTATAAATATTGCAACATCAAAGGCAAAGCAATTTTCAGCTGAGAAAACTATTAAATTTCCACACATTGCAATGAGGAAGAACTTTTTGTACGTCATATGAAAACCCCAAAATTTTCAAACAGTATTAAAGCTTCATCTTCCATTAGTTAGTTGTTTTCCAGAATCCAGCAGATAAAGTTCAAGGTAAGAAAAATTAAATGCATCCACTGGCTCTACAGCCTGGCCACAGTGCTCTAACAACTGGAATAGCAGCATTAAGGCAGTAAAATTAATCTACAACTAACCACTAGTTTTGTCAGAAGAAAACACATGCTGTAGACTGACGCCTACCTTAGAAGAGTCACTTAGGAGTTCTTCAATATGCGTGTGTGTATACACATTCAACTTATTATATGCCTATAACTAAATAATCAAAACTTCCTGAAAATACTTTACATAACAATATCCTTAACACATGGTCATACTCCACCCTTTTCTTGCGCTCCTTTGGTAACACGGTACCACAGCACGTCCAGGTAGAGCACAACCCATAACCCATGGACTAAGACATAGGGCAGAGAAGCAAACACTGCATTAGCCATATCACAGACTCACAGAATCGCTCGGTTGGAAAAGACCTCTGAGATCATCACGTCCAACCGCTCCTGTCTACCCACTAAACCATATCCTTAAGTACCTCGTCTACCCGCTCTTTAAATACATCCAGGGATGGTGACTCCACCGCCTCCCTGGGCAGCCTGTTCCAGCTTCTGACGACCCTCTCAGTAAAGAACTTCCTCCTTATCTCTAACCTGAACCTCCCTTGGCACAGCTTGGTGCCGTTTCCCCTTGTTCTATCCCCCATCACCTGGGAGAAGTGACCAGCACCCACCTCTCTACAACCTCCCTTCTCTTCTCCAGGCTAAACAAGCCCAGTTCCCTCAGCCGCTCCTCATAAGGCTTGTTCTCCAGATCCCTCACCATCCTTGTGGCTCTTCTCTGAACACGCTCCAGAATGTCAACATCCTTCTTCTAGTGAGGGGCCCAGAACTGAACACTGGTTCAGTGTACTTGGCGGCCTCACCAGTGCCAAGTACAGGGGGATAATCACCTCCCTGGATATGTGTGTTAGTATGGAAGAATATCCTGCTACTGGTAACAACTGCTCTGGAGTGTTTGCCCACTTGTAAAACATGGGTCACTATAAGCATTACCTCCCTATGCTCACAGCCTGCATGAAATGGACTATCAGAAGCTCTATGAAGATAGCAAATTCACGATACTCTTCCAAGTGCTGCTTCACGCTTGGCTTGGTGAAGGAATGCAGAGAACTTTAAATGTCCATTGTGCAAATCTCAAGAATGGAGCATTCGCTAGAAAAGCTATATAGAGGTGCTTTTCTGCAGCAGGAGATACGGCTACAGATACATCTCCATTGTACACACTCATGACAGGCTTTAAACCCATGTCCAGGCCGACAGTCTTCTGTTAAAATAACCATATTCCTTAACCTTTCTATCTAAACAGCGAGTGATTTACCTAGAGTCTTGCCTATGTAATTAAAAAAATTGCACAAAAGTCAGTGTATGAGGAACTGTTTTAACCCTGGAGATGTCAAAGCTAAGAGCTTAGGCAAGCCAAGTTCTTAAATGAAATTACTTGTGCTACAGCCCTTGTCCCTTGAAAAGAATACAAGGAACAAAAAAATCTGCAAGTTACACCAATGAAAGTATTTTAAATATTATTTTCTTGATCTGGTGCATAATGTAATGCTTCAGGACAAGAGAGAAGAAAAGTATGAGTAAAAGCATAATTTGGGCAGGTTCCCAGGAATACATACATGTATTACAGCAGACATGGTCAAATACTTGGATCAACTCTTTCTTTTAAAAAACCCATCACTAGAAAGACATCCCAGTGTCTGAATGGCCTTGTTTAACAAGAACCTGTTTTTTGCAGTGCTCCTCAGGAATGCTGGCACACCGCAGTAATGGGCAGGAATTGAGTTAAAAGAGCAGCTGAGGAAATAGAGTCTGCCTACGTGAGTGATACAAGGCAGCACTGAAAGGACAAGTCAATCACATGAACTGAGCATTCAGTTTGTATCTCTTCTCAAAGTATTTACAAGAAACCAACGCAAACCAGCAACTACAGTTTAGAGATACCATGTTATGAGGTATCTGAAAACAGTCCAGCAAAAAATGGAAGCTACAGGAATGAGGTCCTAAATCGTGCTGTACTCAAAGGCATTTCTGAAACCAAATGCTCTTGTAAATTCTGAAGACATCAGAAGGACAGTAAGCAAAGACACACTTGTAGACTTTTTGTGCATTACTGATGTCTGAAACTACAAGTCACAGATCCTAGACACTGTATAGCTTAAAAATCTCCACCAGATCTAAATTTTCTAAATATGAAATGAAGTGAACCATACCTTCTATATATTGTGTTCTTCAGGTCCACAATATGCTACATCAGTGCTTGTAAGTCAAAATGAGCTACAAATAGATAAGGCAATTGTTCACACTCACCTAAATATGGAATAGTAGGAACCATTTTTAAGCTTCTGATGTACTCTCGTGTCCTCTTATAATTATCTTCCTTAGACAGTAGATAGTCTAACTTCTCAAATGTGGTCTTGTCTTTGCGATTCAAAAGCTACACAGAAAAAAAAAGATAATAAAATTTTAAAAGATGAATCCACACAAAGACAACAACAAATAATTTCTTAAATAACCCACAGAAAAGGAAAGTATAGCATCATGGCTTAACCCCAGCCAACAACTAAGCCCCTCACAGCTGCTTTGGAAAAAAGTATAAGGAAAGGAAATCACTACGATACTTAAACTTCTGTTTTCTATTACTGGGCTTACTACAGAAAATCAGAAAAATATTTAGCAAAGAAAAAGATCCTAAAGTGGCACAAGATTGAAAAGTAAACAGAAAATACACTACTATAGCTATAAAACCACAATCCCTAATCCAACTGTTTTTAGAAACACCAGCAATATTTGAGATTATTTTAAAAGCCAGTTGAGTCAGAACGAGTGGAGAATTATGGCACTGCACATTGGCTTCTTGCAGTTGTACTTTCTGACAACAGACAGCTGCTCCACAGCACATTGCTTAATACACCTCTCCTCTGTATAATTCCAGCTCTTGTACTACAGAGCTCATAGCCTAGCTTTCTGTTTCTAGAGAACTGTGATTCTGCCCAACGTTATTAAAAACACTGCAATGGATGTGCACGAGTCAACTGCTTCATTCAGGCTTGCTCAGAACAGGATGGGCCAGACAAGAGTCATCAGCAAAACTGCTGTGAATGGGAGCCCTGAGGCCCTTCGCAGCCCTGAACACTGCGTACCACATCATCATTAAATAGCAACTGTTCATAAAAAGTAACATAAAAAGTACAAGAGTGAAGAGACTTCAGAATAATGTTGCTGTTTTCTTTATAAACAGCATAGAGAATTCCTTGAGGCCTCAACTCTACCCTGTACAGATTTTTGAACTACTGTGCCTACAAAGAGCCTTGCACCTCTTTAGGTCCAAGTCCTGCAATGAATTATTCACATACTTAGCTTCACATGTGAGCCATTTTCCCTATTTAAGTTCCAACTTCATCAAGCTGCTGAAAACAGCAGGCATGTTTTCATTAGACTATAGCCTAATTCTGAGCTATCAAAACATCAAAAAAGTTACAGGCATTTTAAAGACAATAAACTTAGGTAAAAGAGTTAAGTATAGCTATCTTTATTGATCAGTTCTGAACAGTTAATGTGAGCCACTATGTGGAATACTAAACTAATGACAATTACCTAATCCTTTGTAAATTTAAAGATTACATAGAGCAGGACTACATCATAATCGTGTATTCCACTTCAAAGAAATAGCAAAACTTACAGTAAATTTAAATGAGAATTTCTGCCCTCAAGAGACTGAATTTCTGACAGCGGAATTATCAGTACTTTTAATTTCCAAAATGAATGAAAGCTGAAATGCATTGTGCAATTATCACAAAAGTAATGCTTCTATATTTGTAATACATCTTTTTTCTTCCTTTCCCCTTAGGCAATATATTAATGACACACAATGATCTGGATTATGGGATACTGCTACACACTCTATATGAGGGTCTTCTGAGATTACTTATCAACTAAAGTCCTCTCAGGCATATAATCAGTGGCTTCTAGAACAGACAGGAAAACAGGAAACTGACAGGAAAAAGGTTTGTTTAAAAATATGCAGCCATTTAAACTCCACTTTCACAAAATATGTAGCAGATCACGACTTCTGCTCTAAAGTACAAAACCAAGAACACAAAGGATCTTCTGTCAGAGCACGCACTTTGACAATGCAGCAGGTTTCAGAAAACCTCACAATTCAAACAAGACAGAAAAGGCCATGGTCAAGGAGTAACTTACAGCCCAGGTTTTGGTCAGTCTGAAGATAGGTGCACTTTGCAGTGCTGACACCACGGACATAAGAGAATGAAGGTTATTCAATTCTAGAAGCTTCTGGAAAAAAAGGGAATAATAACTTTTAGCACATCAAAAAGGGATGCAGGATTAATTAATCTCAAAGTTGCATTAAGGACACACTTTTTTTTGCATTAATAAAATACAAAGTTTTCAACAATGACTGCAGACAACAACATTATCCAATGTGCTAAATTCTTAAGACCACTTTAAAGGTTGCAAGTATTCCATATATATCCCTCAAAACAACAGGCATTTCTGTTGTGAGAATACAAACCATATTTCATTTGAATTTGTTATTTTCTAAGGCTATTCCTGCAGGAACAGAAAATATGAAAAAAAATATTGGATGCATCATTCTTGAAAATGATATTGGAAATAAATTTAATCAAGACAAAATCAACACAAGATACTTATTACCCTTTTTAGAATTAATATAACTTTTTATTTTGTAATCTAACAGCAGTTCATAGGACTAGTGCAGAAACAAACAAAAAAGAAAGAAGGTTTTGAATGACAGCACAAGCAATTTGCACTTACTTTAGCTATTTTCACAAAATGGCTCAATATTTCCGCCCTTATTTTTAAGGTCTGTGCTGTTAATATTTCTCGTACAACCCAAAAACTGACCTATAAAGTAAACACATATAACTGAATTTATTTACCAAAAAAGGACTTTATTAGATAAAATATTTGTAAACTTTGGTGATGCTCCAGGGTAAGGGGAAAAAAAAAAGTTCTGATTCCATGAATTCTCATCTGGAGAGCTGCAACCAGCACTACCACTGGACAACATAAAAGTTAAGTAGAGAAGTGAGGCAACACTAAGGCAACTGAATGAGCAGGTAAAACACAGAAAAAGAAAGAAATTGCTAATGTGGTACCATGACACATCAGCAAAAATTATTAGGAACTAATAATTAGGAACCAGTAATACAGAGGAACAACAAGAAAATGTGGACAAAGCAACTGAAAACAGGAACTGCCATTTTAAAATCTTAATCTTCATTTATAAAAGATATTCTTAAGTTTTGATCCATAGGAGCAGTTCTATCTGAATCAGAGAACTGTCAAACAGTACCTGTTCATCAGCAATCAAATCATTTACCTGGTTAAACCTCCTAGTAAAGGCAACAATATTTGGGGCGAGGATATGTTTTTCTTTCTTATTCCATTCACAGCTGGCTAGTTCCTAGGAAACACATTTAAAATTGCCTTAAAAATCTGTAATGTTTAAAAACTGATACATGACAGAAGCAGCTATCAGATAACTGCTAAAACCAATCCAAGATACCAATCTGATGACAACTAGTCTAAACCAACACATCTGTGCCTTCCTGATGGATGTGAATGATGTGATTCATATATTCTCCAGATTCTCGTAAAAAAAGACATCATCATTACTATTCAGCTGCAGAGAGACTAAGCAATCAGCCACAACTGACGTCTCTGAATTTTCTTGCTGCATCCATTAGTTTGGGCAAACCAGACGACACAGAAGTAAAGATCTGCTGGCAGATCATCTTATCTGATTCAGAATGGAAGCTAAAGCTAAACATATCAGTAAGCAGTATCAGAGGTAGTTACAGAGTACAAAATTCAGCTGTGCAACTACAGATGGGACCCTAGCTACTGTTCCTGCATGTCACTCTCATTATTACAGTTAGTAAAACTTCTGTGAATACACCACAGTTTAGCATGTTCAATCTGCATTTTATTTATTTATCTATCTAAAAAAAAGCATTTGAAGAACACAATTTTGGAACTGTAATATTATTGTTTATAGTAGTTACAAACTAATCTATTTTTGTTTCTTTTTGAAGTGTTTTAAGCTGTAAGAGTTTAGCCAGACTTGACTTAGGTGTGCCATGTACTTGAACATATTGATTAGCAGTTTGGTGCTAATAAAGCAAAAAGCTGTCAGTAGGCTGCACAGTTCAGTCACAATATATGAAAAAAAATCTAAATCCTCTTTCATTGTGGTGACTACTTCAAAGTCAACCCAGTTTAGAATAATGAGAAAAACCACAAGTTCTGTAGAACACCTGCAATCACAACTAATCAATTTCAATGCATAATAAAATCCCAGTGCTCTACGGCAAAACAATCTTTCACCTAAAATGCAAAACAAATAGTAGAAATTCCTGTGGGAAGTATAAAGTAAACAGGAAAGCTAAAAAGCACATTAAGGATTTTGTCCTTAAATAAACTGTACTAAATTATGCATCAAAAGAAATTTGAAATTATAACTACAAATTTGATTAAGCCAGAAAGAAAGGGTCCATTCTCCAACAGTTGTTTCAGGCAGTTTCAAATATATTTAGATGGCCTGGCTCTTTTCAACCACAGAGGGCTGTGCTGCCATCCAGCGAGAT